GTTACGGAATAGTGCTTTCCTGGCTAGAGCCAGGTCCAGGTTGTGGTCAGCAGCATCGACTGTTTTCATAAACGGTACCCTAAGTGAGCAGCAGTTCTGGTTTCCAGAGCACTCTCACAGAGGCGGCCGGATCAGCCATCTTCCCAGTGCCCTGTAGCTCAACAGGGGCCATGACACCCATCACTCCTTCTTCCACCGAAGGACCTCCACCCCCTAGACCTCACAGCTGAGGACGCCGTGGGTCAAGGTCAGGGCTGAGAGTTTCTCATTATCTCATTATCCCCAAACCCTGAGGATTGGATGGTGTGTCCCTTCATGGGGCCTGTCAGGGGAGGGTCTCTGTGTGCAACCCAGGAAGGACCCTCACCGTCAGGGCTCTCAGCTCTTTGGAGGCTCATCGTGGGCCACGTTCTCATATGCCTGTGATGCAGAATTCAAAATCATTGAAAAATGAGACAGGAAATTATAAATGCGGTCAGATCTCCACCATGAAAAAACTAGACCTGGAAAAATCTGGAAGATAATAGAAATATTATCATATTAACTTTTATATCCTCTGAGGGGTAGGGCTAGGGTGATTTTTATTTCTTCTTTGTATTTTTTCCCTAGCTCCCAAATATTCTTTTTCTTAAAATCATGGGAAAAATACCACCTAAAAAAAAACAATGTCCCTTCCAACCCGAATGTAAAATATGAGACTGGCCGATGGTGAGGATAGGGAAACAGCCTGGCTGTTGATGGCAGTAGGAAGGGGCGGTGTAAGGTGGAGCAAAAGGTGAGGAGCCATGAAGGTCCGCTTCCAGGAGGAGGTGAGTTCGCGATTCCATTTCTCCTCACCAAGAGGGGAAGACATATTTCTCTGAGACACACTGTTACCAAGTCTGGCCCCACGGGCTACCAGTCAAGTCTAAGTTGCTCTGGGTGACAAATGAGGACAAATTAGGCTAACGACCTCACGCTGGGTTCCCAGGAAGGTGCACGGGCCATGGTTCCAGCCAGGCAGCAATATATAAACATGCTCCTGAATATAAGGAAGAAAGTCTCCATCCCTGACCCTGGGTGGGGTTTCTGCTGTCAGGCATGACCTGGTGGTCAGGCTGAAGTGGCTTCTCTGTTTGTACAGAGCCTAGTGGCACCGAGACCCGAGGGCCCGGGCATCTGAAGTGCAGTGTCCTGACCCCAGCCAATGGGAGGAGAGTCTGAGTGACCTCCACAATGGTTCCCGTCTCACCTTGACCTCCTAGTACTCCAGCTTGTTCCAGGACCTCTCCCAAGGGTGTAGGGGTGTGGAAGGAGGGCAGCTCCTGCCCATGTGTTCCCAGTCAGGCAGAGCTGAGCGGGACACCCAGAGGGTGCCGGGCTGTAGCTGGTACACCTGTATGCCTGTCGCAGGCCCCCTTGCCTCTACCTTCCTTCTGCTACCAAGGCAGGGGTGAAGAGTGGCCTCTTTCCTGGCCTTGACCAGAGGGTGCTGTGGTCACACCCAACACCGGGCCAGGGAACGGTGGACAGCACCCAGCCTGTTTGTTTTTTTTTTTTTATCACGGCCCCGGCACTAGCTGGTTCTGGACATGCCCTTGAAGTTCAGGGGCAGGGAGAAAGGAGAAGGCACGGTGGCCCGCTTGGCTGAGCACGCAAACGTATATAACTTTCCCATCTGGAGCCAAGTAGAGAAGGTTCTGCTGAGCTCTGGCCAGACCCTCACAGCCGGGGTGCCCCGCTGTGGACAGAGTGTGGGAGGGACAGCTGGAGCCCCAAACACCTGCGAAGCTGAAGCATGGCCTCCTCTCCCTTGGGATCAAACCCGTGACGTCCGGCCAGGTCTGAGGAAGGGTCTAGCACGTGTTCCGGAGAACCTTGTAGCTTTCTCTGCTCCTTTTTTCTTGCTTCCTGGGTTCTCTTCTGGTCTCGCTTGTTAGATTTGGGCCCCCTCTCAGGACTGGAGGCAAGAGGACAAGTCCCCACAGTCTGGGGCACTGAGGGAAACCCGGAGGTGCCGGCTCAGCCCAGGTGCAAGGGAAGGAAGTCCTAGGCCAAGCACCCCCTTCCACACTGTGGGAACCGGGCTGGTACTGGTGGCAGTGGGACCGCAGCCTGGGGTCTCGGGAGCTGAGGAGAAGGCAGCGGAAGCTCCATCCCCAGAGGCCAGGCAGGAGGCTCCTGCCAACATCCTGCCCCTCCTCCCTTCTCCGCCTGCTCCCAGCCTCCCAGCCCCGGGTTGCGGCTGCCACGGGTCCCACTCCCTTGATTCCTCATTCGGTTTTTTAAAGTTTATTTATTTATTTTGAGAGAGAGAGAGAGAGAGAGAGAAAGCACAAGCAGGGGAGGGGCAGAAAGAAGGAGAGACAGAACCCCAAGCAGACTCCACGCTGTCAGTGCAGAGCCTGATGTGGGGCTGGAACTCACGAACCATGAGCTCATGACCTGAGCGGAGATCATGACTTGAGCTAAGACCAAGAGTCGGTCGCTTAACCAACTGAGCGGCCCAGGCTCCCCGATTCCTCGGGCTCCCCAGTTCCATTTAAAAGCAGAAAGCACCTCTACTGGGGAAGCTGCTGTGGAGGCTTTGGATAACTTTAACACTAGATTTAAAAGAAAGAACTAGAAAGGACAGTTCTTTGTAGCTTGCCTCTGGTGGTTTAAACACTGTGCTCTGAAAATCTTGTGGCCTTTGATGTTTGCTTACTCTTTGCTTAGTTTAGCCAGGGCCACGTGGCCCCTGAGGCCACATATTCACGGTGCCACAGGCAGCGCATGCACACAAGAGCACAAGAGCAAGTGTGATCCGAAGAGGTCCCTGAGGAACTGGGGACGGTCCACGCAGCCTGGGACATCTGTTCCTCCTGCCCATTCCAAGGACCTCTGGCGGGGCCTCCCTTCCCTGCAGGGGCCTGGCTCAGCTTACCAGATGGGAGGCCTGATTTTCACAGAGGCCTTTTTCGGAGTCAGCATGTTTGGAAAGTGCCCAGAGACTGAGATGGTTTGGAGAGAAAGGTCAGAGCGGCTCACCAAAGAGGGAGGGAGAGGCTTCTCCCCTCGGCTGACCCTGCCCCGGGCCTCCTGCCCTCATCCCCTGCCCCCCAGCTCTAGCCCTGGGGGAGTCCCAACAGTGTGTGACCCAGTAGAGGGGTGAGGAGGTGGCCACTGGACTGGGGTAGGTCCAGGGGGACATGGGGGACTGTGTCTGCAATGCCTCGAGAGTTGACTGAAACAGGCCCTGACCCTGGCATCACCCCTGCATCTCCGCTCACCCAGGGGCCCCCTGCAGCGTGCCGTTCAATGCCATGAGCTCATTCCCTTGCCCTACCCTGGGTGGCAGACCGGCCCCACCCTAGTGTCCTGTTTCTTAGGTGCCCCCAACAGTGTCCCAGCTGGCTGGCCTGTCCCTTCATCACCCAGAGGGGCGGGCACCCAAGGTTGGAAAGGTTTCATGGCCTGGGGCCTCTGAGAAGCGTGGGCCTGAGGCCAGGCGGGTCCCTGCTCTGCGCGGGTTGTGTGGCCAGCCGGCCCCTGCCCCGGGATCAGCGCAGGGGCTGAGGGCTGGTGAGAGCATGGTCGTTGGCGCGCCCGTGAGTGGACTTGCCCCACGTCCCCCGCAGGCCACCGTCAAGGTTGTCGGCTCCTAGGTCTGCCTCTGAGCAGCTGGCCTTCATCAGCAGAGGGTTTTCCTTCTGGCCACAGAGATAGGCTTCCCCGAGCCGGTCTCCTTTATTGTCTTGGCTTTGAGCAGTGAGTGTCGGGAAGCACGTGGCTGATGTACCCTTTGTTCCTCTCTTCCTGATACTGGAGATGATGTGAGGAGATGACCCCAAACTGAACCTTGAGTTCTTATTTTGGCTTCTTAGTGTTGTCAGGCTGAGGACCGTCCTCCCCATTTTGCAGGTAAGGAACTGGAGGCTCGGGTATTAAATGCAGCGTCCGTGGCCTGGCTGGCTGCGGGGGCCTGTTCTTGACTCTGAGCCTCGACAGCATCTCTCAGCTTAGTCCTTGGGCCTCGAAACTGGAAGTTACCTTAAAGACGGGCCTGCAGGTTTGGTTCACCAGTGGGTAACTCAGGCTCAGAGAAGAGAAGTGGCTGTGGTGGGGCCTGCAGCCCAGGACCAGGCCTGGGACCCAGGGCCCGGTTTTCCCAGGGGCGCCCACAGGCGCCTCCCCTGGGGATCGTCTGGCTCCAGAGCCAAGAATGCCCCCTTTGTGCCAGCACGATCTCTGGTGATATGCGGGCCTCCCCGCTCTGAAAGCCCTGATTGTTGCTCTGAGCTTGGGGTTGGGCTGCCCACACTCCTGCCCCCACCCCTGCCCGCTGTGGGGCCTTTTGTGCTCCTGGATTTCAGCACAACAGCCGAGCTGTTGATCCAGAAGGCCCAGTGTGACCGGGAGAGGGCGATGTGCCAGCACCCCTCCCGGTCCGAGCTAGGGGGTGGGCCCTTTGTTCAGGCCAGAGCCCCGCAGCGAAGAACCACCGCTGGGGAAGTGAGGAGAGCCGATTTCCAGTCCTGGCCAGACCCCTAGCCTGCCTGCTCTGTGCCCTGGCAGAGTCAGGCCCCTCTTTGGGCCTCAGTTTCCTTATCTATAACGCAAGAGCTTGGATAGCAGCCGAGAGTGGAGAGGAGGTCTGGAGGACAAAAGGAAGACTCACTTCAGGCCTGTGTTTGGACAGTGGAAGGAGCACCAGGCAGGCACCAGAGCCAGCCCAGTCCCAGCGTGGCGTGGCTGCTTCCCTGGGGAAGGGCCCCATCTCTTGGGTCTTGGCCTATCTGATCTGTATGGGAAAGCGTGTGAATCACTCCTGCTTAGACATGGCAGAGGGACTAAGGCATCAGATGGGCACGGGGGGCATGGAGAGGGTGTGGGCAGGGATGTGGTGGGGCGTTCGTGCAGGCGGGGTGGGAGCTCCTTGGGCACGTGGGCACTCTGTTCCAATCCCGAGTCCTGGGAGACCTTGGGTTGGGCTCAGGGAGGGGAGGTCTGTTTCTTTCATACTGTCTCCATCTAAATAGACCATCGACTTTCTGAATGACAACATTCGAAGAGGAATCGAGAACTACTATGACGATCTGGACTTCAAAAACATCATGGACTTTGTTCAGAAGGAGGTGAGCCAGGCGCCGTGGTCAGACACACCTGCCATGCCCTTTGCCCCCCCGACTCGGGACCCTGCTCAAGAGGGTGAGGGTGACGGAGCAGGGGCTTGTCCGCTCCCAAAGCAAGTAGCTGGCCACGTTGGGAGGCAATGGTGTGCCATGGACAGCCACCAAGTGTAGGGCCTGACCTTCTCAACCAGTCCTCTGCCCACGTGCCTGGCCCAGAACGTCCTTACTCTTCTTGTCTCTCCTAGTTACCACCCTCCCCTCCCCCCAAAAAGAATAAGGTCAGGTAAAACTACAAGCCACCTTTCAGGGTCCCAGGGTACCCTTCTCTGATGGGCAAAGACCATCCTTCCTTGAGGTGGGAGTGACCTCCAAGCCACCCAGTTCAGAGTCCGTTCAGTGACGGGGAGCTCACTCCCTGTCAAGTCAGGGACAGCCCTGATGTGGAAAGAGCTCGTCCCTGATCCCACATCCTCCTGCATTGGGGAACAGAACACGACGTCCCCTTTTCCCCCATAGCACTTCTGTGAACGCGACGATTGTCATTTTGGGACACTGTCCTTCTCCCCACAACGTCTACCCAAGTCTGTCGATGCAATGATAAGCCCTCAGTGGCTTCTACACCTCGGTCTCATTTAGTCCTGAGCCTCAGGTTCCTCATCTGCATCGGGGAGGGGGGGGGGAATACGGACGGCCCCTCGCTCTTGATGTCCTGATGTCATTGTGCCTTGACGTTGCACTTCTGGGGACATGGCCTTGGGACCTGGTTCCCGTGCTAGCCGTCAGTGAGAACCAAATCTCACCGCACCCAGGGCCACCCGCAGTGGCCACTCCCTTGGCTCAGGCCTTCACTGTGGTCACAACAGGTGCAGCCTCCGGGAGGCCCCTCTCTGCCAGGGGTGTGGCGGCCAGCTCTGACCGTCGGGTGAAGCATGATGTTTTTATTGGAACCAGCCTTCAACTGGCTTGGGGATTTCATTTCTCCCCGGGTGGGGCGGTGTGGGGGTGACTTATGCTCGGTGCCAGGCCCCATGCTGAGTGCTTCGTGTATGGCCTGGCTCTGTCACCCTCAGCTCAGCTGTGCAAAGCTGGCATTGCTCTTCCTGCTTTGCGGATGAGGATCCGAGGCCCAGAGAGGCTGGTCAGCTTGCCCAAAGTCACACAGCTAGGAGGGGTAGCCTGAGGATTTGAACTCTGGTCTCTTGGACTGCAAAGCAAATGCCCTTTAACCGCACCCTGGGGAGGCACTTCCAGGTCCTAAAAACTGCCGGAAGGGCTCCCTGGGGGGCTGCGGAAGGGTGTCTGCTTTGTGTCTCTCTGGCATCATCACTCCCCTAGTCAACCCTGCAGCGACTCCCCATCACTCAGAATATGATCTCAGCTCCCTACTCATTCTGGCTCAGTAGGCTCTGCGTGGTGCGGCCCAGGCCGGCCTCTCCCCTTCATCCCTCCCCTCTCACTCCCCCTGCTCCTGACAGGCCTCTGTGCCCGCTGCCCACATACCACTGGCTCATTCTGTGGGGCCTGTGCACTGGTGACTGGCTCTTCCCTGCTGTTCGTGTTTCAGATTAAATGTCATGTCTTCAGAGGGGCCTCCCTGACCTCCCAACGTACGGCCGCTCCTCCCCCGCTCCCCCTCCTCCACTCACTCCTCCTCCTCCTCCTCCAGGGAGCCACTGCCTCCTCGGATCTGTGCCAGTGCAGGGGCTGGTGCCCGGAGAAGCTAAGCCAGGGGGAAAGGAGGCCTGCCCTGTCCCCACCCTCTGTCCCAAGCCCACTTGGCAGGCCGTGTGTGTGTCCCTTTGCTGAGGAACACCCCCAGGCCAAGCTGGGGTGGCTGTGGCATAACGCCACTGGGCTGTGGGGGCGTCCATGGAGCCCTAGTCTCTGGGACCTTCAGGGTTGAGCTGCTGCACTGGGGACGTGAAGATGGGGGTCGAAGAGAACTTTCCCTCCAGTGTTTGGTACCCTCCCCATACCCACCCTGGGAGGCTGCCCAGCCTTGGCCTGCGTGCCCCTCCGGCGATGGGGTGCTCACTGCCTCCCGGGAGAGCACAGGACAACCTGCCGACCGCCGCCCCGGGTGCTCCCCTACCAGGAGACCCATCATAAGCCGCAGGGTCTCCCGGCAGGGCCCCTTCCTGGTCCGTGCCTGGGGCCTCGGCGGTGACATGGCACCCCTCTGCTGGCCTCTCTCTCAGTTTAAGTGCTGCGGCGGGGAAGACTACCGGGATTGGAGCAAAAACCAGTACCACGCCTGCGACGCCCCCGGACCCCTGGCCTGCGGGGTGCCTTACACCTGCTGCGTCAGAAACACGGTACCCGCTGCTCCTGGCCTCCCGGGCTGGCCAGGTGCCTCTCGTCTTTCAGGAAGGGGGTGGGGGTGGGGCAGGAGGTGGCGGCCGTTGCCACGGCTTCCCGAGTCCCCAGGGCCACTGACAGGGGTGCATCTGGGGGTGGGGGCGTGGAAGGCTGGTCTTTAAGAGCAGTGATCATGAGCAGCTAGTGAACACTTCTCACGTGCAGGCCCGTCCTAGGCTCTCTTGGATTATTCAGTCCTTTCCACAACAACTTGGGGTGGGTCCTGTTATTTTACCCACTGTACAGATGAAGAAATTGAGGCACCCAAACATCAGAGGCCTGCCTTCGTGGGAGGCTGTCCTGTGTAGTCGCCACTTATAAACGAAGGGCTTCTTCAATCCTGTGTTTGACTAACGTGTCCCCCAACTGCTCGGTTTCTGGATTGGAACGAGGTGGAGAGCTTTGCAATTACTCATGCCTGAACAGTCATGGAAAATGTCTTTTCGAACATCTCTACCATTCTGTGCCCAGTGCTGGATTCTGTAAACCAAGCAGCTGCCGGTG